CCAGGGTGATTCATTAGTATTGCGAACCTGCTTCATCCCTATACTATGTGTGAAATGTTGAAAATACATTTTGAAAGAAGCGAATTTATTGTAAGATTTCAGTTATCTATTCCTGACCTAAACTGCATGTCTATGAAAATAACGTTTACTTTTATATTTAGAATATTAACTGAAATTATGAAATGTTCATTTACGAATAGCATAGATGGCAGCTTGATCTGAATTCCTCTAGTGTTGTTCGGGTGAAATCTTTTTCAACTGCACGAACATTTTAACAATGGCCAGCGAAGTTACTTCATTGAACTGTTGTTGCAATTCTGGTGCTCGTGTTGTTGAAGACCGCGTGCTGGATTAAACCCAGTTTGTTGTGTATTTTAGGCTGGTTTTCGACTAGTTCATTGTTATATTTCACAGTATGTCTTAATCTTTTGTTTCCAAAAGTAATCATGCTCACGATCATAAAACTCACATGAAAAGAAGAAACATCTCAGTTTTGTATACTGTAGGCATCCCACAGTCAAGAGTGACAAACTACTTCACGTTTTCAATTGTGCTATCGATGTACCCGAATACTGTTGCATATATACAAGAGTGACTAATAAGGTAGGAGTCACGTTTTCGTGACAGTTCAATGGGTCCGTGAATCCAATTAGTATTGTTGAGAGGTACTTCTCACATTTGTGAGTAGCAAGTAATATATTACGTGATTCAATTCAACGATGAAAATCAACAAGGGCACCGAGGGAAAATCACTGGGTCTCAAGGAATAACTGTCGATTACTACATTCAGAGGCCAGGAACTACGCCGTATGTTTCTGATGAGGTTTGTGTGTTATGCATGCCAAATTAGCGATGTCCCATCTGTAATCCTCAATAAACAGCTATTCTTAACTGCGCACTGCCTTATGGAATTAAAACACCATCACCATTTTCTTTTTCCACACACCTATTCTTTTGAGTGATAAGGAAGGAGATAATTACAGTATGCTTTCTCAAGTCCCCTCGTTTATTCGCGCAGTTCATAGCATCTCGGACGAGGCCAAATGTCACATAGCATACGTTACATTTTTAAGTCAACAAGTATGCATTAAACAGTGAGAATATATCATACCACTCAGCACAATATTGCTTAAAGCACTTAGCATTTAATTTCTCCTAAGTGAGCAATTAGTTTGTGAATACGTAGTCGCTTAATTTTTATTCAGCATGAATCTGTCTCGGATTTCGTCGGTCATTAAGCTGCCTATCCCCATTCCTGCTACCCCTATTTACCTATGCTCCTTTTCTATTACCTTCTGAATCAGAGAAGCAGTCACTATCCTCATGGAACATTGAAAATCATCTATAGTAATTGTTTGACAAAGGCGATGGGTTCATCCATAGTTTTATGTGAATGTTTTTTACACTTCCCAGTTGAGGAAACCCCCAAACTTTATCCATGTGTTAGTGACATAGAAAACAGCATGTGAATTTAATCCGTCATGGAGCTATCCTTCGTGAACAAGACCTTGGAAATAGTTCAGGATGCTCGACTAGAACAGGAAAACACAATATTAAAAGATTGTTTTGCATAAGCTCGTACAAAGAATATAGAAATACCTTTCACGAGTCCGTGTGTCACACTTTAAATGCCAATGGCTTTATTCTCATAAGGTGAATGAAATCAGAGGTTGTATTTTCACATGAATATCTGATTTCTAAAGTATTCGTCTTTCGCAAGGTAGACAGCATTACATTGCAAGCGCTACGTGTGTTGAAGAACTCTAATAAACAAGTTAAATGAAATAGGAAAACTTATAAAAGACGGTATATGTCTTGTGCCCCAAATGGACGACATGTTAACGGAAATTGTAGCCATAAAACTCATTGCCTCAATTACAATATCAGATCCTAATTTGGAATGAGTGTCACCAAACAAATCCCGGATCGCGCTCGTATTACTGGATCAGTGCAGGAGTAGTATGTGGGGTCTTCGAAACTGGGCGCGTGGTCCGTTACATCGTCGTACTCGGAACTATACAATCACTCTTCACGGAATTTATCTGGGATACACGTCCTTCGTTGCCATAGAAACGTGTGATGATGGTCTGCCTAAATTCTGTGAAATACTCTGCGGTTTTCATGAAGCAACTTCGAATTTCTGGCCACTGGATATTACCTCCTTTTGGCAAATCGGTTCATAACAGAGAGAGAGGAGAATTTTCGGAAATCTCAAAACCTCCCCCAGAAAACGCACAGCTCGATGGCAGGTGTTATCACGAGGCTGTGGTGTTATCACATACATAAATAACAACTGGTGCAAATCAGGCAAACCAGTCTTTATGTATTCTAACACTTCTATCAGTACTTCACTGTATAAATGCAAACCTAACCACCTCAGTAACTACCGAAACATTATCTTTGGTAATATTTACATTTCTCCTTCTTGTTCCACTGATCACTTTAACGAGTTTACAGATATTTTCTCCGCCGCTGTACTAAATTACGTAGACTCCTCCCTTTGCATCGTGTGTGGTGACTTCAATAGGTTTGATGTCACGTTTTTGACAACCCTTGGACTACAAAACGCTGTTTACTTCCCGAACAGACTCCAGGTTTGTGTTGATTTGTGTTTCATTACGACCTAGATTTATTCAGCTTGTGCATCAGTTTTCCTGTTGGCACCTCGGATCATGCAACACTGAAATTATCTCCACGATCTACATGACGTCAAATCATCAGTTTTACACTCGGCATCGTGATCGTCGTCTTCGTCGGCGTCAATGCTAACCCGAAAATCTTGTTAGACTAAGAGATATATTAGATCAGACAAATTTCTCTTCATTTCTACATAACGACCGCTCTATATTTTGTGATACCCGAACTGAATACTCGAGGTTCTGCTATGATACGTGCTGCCAGTGAGAAACTTTATTCATACGGTCATACTGTTTTTCGACCCCTACACCTAAACGATTTCTTCGGAAGAAAGAACAAACTTTCAAGGTGGAAAAATAACTCTTTGGTGAGAGACCATTCGAAAGCAATCAAGGCTGAACTGCGGAGATTAAACGCTGCTTATGTACATGTATTGCTGGCAAACAGAAATTGTCGGGATACATGGAAAATGATGTTTTAGTTCGTCGGTCTCAAAACGAAGGGGAATCTTCCAGCTGCCAATGTGGACGATATCAATCGCCAATTCAGCAATGCTGAAATCGACACCCATATTCCTAATGTTGTTATTTTAAGTACTGATCAAACTGAAGTATTGAAAACCTTCATCAACCTGAAGTCTAATGAAGCATGCGGTCCTGATGAACTGCCACCTGTTGTATTCAAATAATGTGCAGCCTCCCTTTCTCCTGTTTTCACCAACCTACTCTACCTGTGTTTTACTAAACATTGCATTCCGGACTGCTGGAGAGTGGCTTCTATCACACCAGTACCCAAAATGGACCCTCCAAATTTCGCCCGATTGCTTGCACTTCTGCGGGTTTGAAAATCATACAGAAGATTTTCTACAAAAGATGCTGCCCCAGCTGAACGCATCTGATCCAAATCAATTTGCCTACTGCAGTTCTAGGGCAACCGTTCATGTGTTGGCATCCCTCATTTATGAAATCTCTTCCTCCTTTGACAGGAAATGTAAAGCTGTTCGAGTATGTTTCTTTGATTATAGTAACGCCTTCAATTGTGTTGATAGGTCCAAACTCCTTCACACTCTTTCTGGGAAAGGCATTCAGCCGGAGCTTACCAATGTTTTAGGTAATTATTTCACCCATCGACCAAAGTTTACCAAATATAAAGGTCATAAGTCTTCGCTTTAACCCTCTACTCAAGGAGTTCTTCAAGGCGGTATTCTCCCTCCCTTCTTGTTCACTACCTTTATTTCTTCAATGCCTGCCTTTGGTGATTGTCTGCTCATTAAGTATGCCGTTGATGTTGTACATGGCATGATGTTTTCGAATTCCTCCATGTACCCCAAACAGAATATTTCACTGCTCACCAACTGATCTTCACAACACAAT